ACTTACTTACTTACTTACTTACTTACTTACTTACTTACTTACTTACTTACTTACTTACTTACTTACTCACTCACAGTCTAAATTAATTCAGGATGTAATAAAATAAATCAGGATGACAGGACCATAGTACAATAAAAAGCCTTTTTTTATTATTGATATCATGGACAAGACATTATGAGCCACTATCCAAACCAGCAGGTGGCGGTAATGCACAGTGCGAAGTTTGCCAACTGTCAATGAAACCCACGAAGAAGAAGAATCAGGTCGACATGACGGAACTGCCGAACGGAGCCAATACAAAACTCACAGAGGTGCAGAATGAGGAGCCAGTTGGTCACAGACTGGATMAATTTGTAGAAAAAAAATATTCCCAAGAAGAAGACTTGGCGTGTTTGAAAGAAAATGAGCGCAGGTTTGTGTTTTTGTATTCATAGACGAAGTTAGCTAGCTGTAGCTTTTAGGTAGCTAACTGATTTAGCAATAACCACTCTGATGAGGTACAGTATATGATCATGGATATAACTGGGTCGGACGTGGCTTGTTTACTAAATAGCGCCACCATTGCCATGTGTGGATTGTGGACCAACATAAACRATAGGCACTTCGATAAATGCCTTGTCCTGTCCCGGTAGTGCGTCCGTGTGTTTTTGTGTTCTTCAGTCACTATTTAAAGATTCCACACGTCATTTCTGCCATTTTTAAATTGTGTCAGGTAATGCTTGTCTTGCTTCTTGATTATGAGCCTTTGAATTATGACCTTTAAATCCTTAATGGGTGGTCCGATTTTAAATAGACTAAACCGTTTTGGAGTCAGTACATAGAGCCTTACGAGTAAAAAATAAAGGAAAAACAGCTCTAAAATAATTTTGAAAATGTTATRAAAGTTCCTACGATATGTATACGTGAGCAGAGGCCAAGAAAAGAAGATTAGGTTCATCGGGAACTGAAGGGTTTTGTTATAAACCAGGCATGTCCAACTCTGGTCCTCAAGGGCCAGCCTCCTGCAAGTTTTAGATTTGTTCCTGCTTCAACATGGCTGATTCAAATCTGATTAACCTTCTCAGTTTGCCATCAAGGTCTGCAGAGGCCCATTAATTAAGCACTCGTTAGGTTCAGCTCTGTTGAACCAGGGCACCACCTAAAGCAGGACACTGACCCTTGAGGACCAACTTTGGACCCCACTATTAAACTGTAGCACATAACGAAATTCACTGACAGAAGCACAAGGAATAACATTTCACACAGAAGTTCCTTCTGTACTTGCTAGTAAAGCAATCATTCAGGTTAGCTGTTCAGTAATACATAATGTTAGCTGCAGGCAGACCCAGGTAAATTATGCTCCAAATTTAATGAAGACAATCAGTAAACAGTTGTCAGAGTTACAAAAGTAGGATCTACATGCAGAATAATACGGTACTAGCCAGCTCTAACTTAACAGCTYCAGATATGATACAATATAAACTCACCGGCCACTTTATTAGGTACACC